GATCAAACTATGGTGATTGTTTTTGGTTGCTATTGAATCAACGTCCTACCAAGCAGTCATAGAAGGATATAACTTCTAATTTCAAAAACATTTCAAATAATCATTTTGATTTGGCAAAGAACATCTAACCTTGGCTTTCCCATCAACTGGTCGAAAAAGGTAAAAAATCCTCCCAGTTCACATACTGGCTTTCTTGTTTGTTTACTTCCATCGCTGGTCCCAAGGGACCAGCTCACTCTTCTCATTTTCAATCCACTCATTTTAGCCTTCCGATACATTGTACCTGCTTTTTTCCTGGACAGAATTACTTCATGCACAGCATGCTGTCAGCTGCTATTAGGCAAAGGTGACCTCATATAATTAGCCTACAAGAAGAATATTTCCCTGTCCTTCAGCGGTACAGCCAGACCATCTTTCCTTCTGGAGCTTTGCATCCCCGATACCAAGAAAACAAGTTACAAAAAACCCCCTTATGTGACTTATGTAACCACTGCATGCCCCGACCTCCGGGTTCAAACTTCCCACAAGGGGACCAGTGACCTTTTCCACTCGTACATATTTACCCTGGCCACAGAAAAGGTGAAACTAGTTCAAGGTCAGAAGCCTAATGCAGGCCTTTTGCTGAGTCTGCCGTTAAGTACAAACAGACCTCCTGATTACAAGTGGGACCTTGATCTTTACTTTTTCCAATGACAGGAAGTCCCAGCATAGTAATAAAAGCCGCATAAACCTCACAGTACACAGTATGCTGCAGCCCAATGGTATCAGCTCACTCTATTAGTTGCAGATTTCATGAGCACACAGCACAGAAAGTAGAATCGAGTTCATGGCAATAAATGCAATTATGCCAGAGTTGAACCTGAAAAGCCTCTCCCCTCTCCCTCCAACTCTGAGCCAAGTTGCAAGGCACTGAAGGGCTCATTTAAAAACAAACAAACAAACAAGCCCCCCCCCAACATAAACAAACAAAAAAAGAAGTAGTATTTCAGGCCCTGTCAGTTTCTGCAACATGAGAGAGAGCACTCACAGGACAGCTCTTTCTCTCAGGATCTAGGGTATCAGCATCTTGGATCCAGGCACAGTCTACTGTCTGGTCCAACAAACTTTGAATTTATTTCAGCAACCACACAGTTTAAAAACTGGAGGTAGCCTGTGGTTATAAGTCTCCTAGAAGAAAGACTGAAGTTGATTCTTCCCACAGGAATTGTACTTCAAGTTCCCCATTTTTGGCCAAAATACACTAACCACTGACCTAAAAAAAAAAAAAAAAGAGAGAGAGAGAGAGAGAAGTATACCACCCCTGTGTTTTGTTTGCTTTAAAGCAGATTATAATGCAGTCATAATTTGGATGCAAAATCAAGGCTTTGCAGCATGGCCGAGACTGTACTCCTACAGCATCTTGATGTGGTGGGCGCCAGCCTCTGAATTTTAATAGAGCTCAGGTACCAACTATTCAAAAAGTTCAGCATGATCAAAACTAAATTAGCTCTGGTCATAGTACAATGTTGCAACTCATAACTCCTGGTTACCCAGGATATGGAGAAGGCTGTGAGGGGCTCTGAGGCAAAAATGACTTTTTTGTGTCAGTCTTCACCAGCAAGTGCTCAAGCCTCACCACCCAAGCCGCAGAAGGCAAAGGCAGCGACTGGGAGAATGAAGAGCTGCCCACTGTGGAAGAACATCAGGTGCGAGACCATCTAAGGACCCTGAAGGTGCACAAGTCCATGGGACCCAATGAGATGCACCCACAGGTCCTGAGGGAACTGGCGGATGAAGTTGCTAAGCCACATGATGGATACATCATATTTGAGAAGTCGTGGCAGTCCAGTGAAGTTCCCACTGACTGGAAAAGGGGAAACATAACCCCCATTTTTAAAAAGGGAAAAAAGGAAGACCCGGGGAACTACAGGCCAGTCAGTCTCACCTCTGTGCCTGGGAAGGTCATGGAACAGATCCTCCTGGAAGCTATGCTCAGGCACATGGAGGACAGGGAGGTGATTCGAGACAGCCAGCATGGCTTCACCAAGGGCAAGTCCTGCCTGACCAACCTAGTGGCCTTCCATGATGGAGTGACTACATCAGTGGACACGGGAAGGGCTACAGATGTCATCTATCTGGACCTCTGTAAGGCCTTTGACGTGGTCCCCCACAACATCCTGCTCTCTAAACTGGAGAGAGATGGATTTGATGGGTGGACTGTCCGGTGGGTGAGGAATTGGTTAGATGGTCACATCCAGAGGGTAGTAGTGGTCAACGGCTCAACGGCCAGATGGAGATTGGTGATGAGTGGCGTCCCGCAGGGGTCTGTATTGGGACTGGTACTGTTCAATATCTTCATCAATGACATAGTGGGATCGAGTGCACCCTCAGCAAGTTTGCAGAT